ACCGTTATGTCGTAACTCCCTTCAACTTTAAACTGCTCACATTTTGCATATCTCAGCTTTTATTCGCTGCATTGATGTCGGCAGACCTCGGCACTCCTAATAGATGAAGAGATAGTAACTTCTAAAGACCACCGCATTCAAGTCCTAAATATCTATGTACCTAACTATTACTAAAACTACTTGACTCGACAATTAAATTACTTAGAATGTAAATGCTTGTTATGATTTTGTTATTGTCTACTTGACTTAAGGTCAAGCATTTTCAAACTAATTGATACTTGACGGCAAATTGTATGTTTGTCTAAAGACCTTCAGCGGTATTTATGTGTACAACCGATGAACCGTAGTTTGTATTTTAATGCAGACAATCACTTAGAAAATCGAAAATTGTCGCGAGGCGCAAAGAGCCATCTCACGTGATACATGCAGACAGCGTTGCCAAACCAAAACAACATGAAATCGGTAGAAAGTGACAAAATCGGTAGAAAGAAAAATCTGGGCGGCCGATCAGGGACTTTGTGGTGCCAATCTGTTCTCGTTGGATTCCACATAATCTGACAAAAGCTCGAAAATAGGCTCATGTCGATTAGTGCAAACAGATGCTCGAAACATTCTACGGAGGTGCTTCAAACGACATGTATAAGATTGTAACAGGTGATGAATCATGGATCTATACTTATGAGCTGGAAAGGAAACAGCAGTTGACTGTATGGGTGTTTCAAGACGAGCCGAATCCGACAAAGGTTCCTTGCGCACGAAGCACTTCGAGACAAATGGTCGCCTGTTAATTAACAGTTAATTCTGAATATTAACAACTGTTTGTTTGCCAAAAGTCTTCGGTGGATTAAGGAAAACCAACAAGCGTCGTCGGATCATTCTTCATCAAGACAATGCGGGCTCTCACGTCTCTCGCGAAACAATGGACTATTTGAGCACTCAGAATATTGATTTAATGGGTCATCCTCCATCCAGTCTTAACTTCGCACCCAATGACTTCTTTTTGTTCCCGTACGCTGAGAATAAATTGGGTATACGACGATTTCCGTCGACAGAAGGAGCTCTTGATGAGTTCATAAAGTATGTTTTGGAGATAGATATCTCAAGCGGAGTGGAAAATGTGTTATGAAAGTTAAGTTAGGAGTGTGGTTCAAAATCCGCTCAGTTGTCACTTCCATTGCTTTCAGTTTTACCACCATTATAATCCCGTTCGGACTCTCATAATATGTCTTAATTCGTAGCGAATACACAGCTAATCAAGAACTTTCCATTTGTTTGTATCATCTGATAAAGAAATGTTTATTTTTTCTATTTGAGTTAACAGTTCCATCATTCTATTCTTTGTTATACGATGAACAAATTATTTTGTTCAATATGTATTGTTTTCTCTGAAACTTCTGACAAGTGAAGTGTTTCCGTTGTTTATTTATAATCTGCTCGTATTTATATTACAAAAATTATCAAGTAATATCAAGACTGCTTGAATTTTCAAGTACTTGACAGACAGACGTAAAAACTATTTGACTTGATATCAGATTGCTAATATCTAATACTTGACTTGAGCTTGACTTGATTTCAAGTCAAGTATCTTAACAAATCAAGTCGAGTAGTGAATCTCTGATACTAACTGATATAAAACGAGTTGCTAGCATGAGTTAGTTATTTTTATTTACAAAATTATGATGGGACCGCACATCCAACAAAATACCAACAATTTTTAATCCTAATAATAAATAAATATATAAATAAATAGCGTTTATTGTCCAACGTTAAGTAAACCATTTATTTACAGGACAATCATAAGATAAATCAAAATAACAAGAACAGAAAACACATAAAAAGCAGGTGATTTCATCTAAAGAAAAAAACAAACAAGAGTCAGAAGCATAAAAAACATATTTCACTCAGGTGAGTAACATATCATAAATTATCCAAGCAATTTCTAGCTACTCCCAGAATGCTGTTTAAACTGTCAGCATGTATATCACAATAATTTGATATTGCATTGAAAGTTTCACACATCACATATATGGGTGCTTTCAAAAACAGATTTGTGCGAGCCCTGTCACAGTAAAACGTTTTAGCTGTACGAGTTTGAATAGATGGAACATTAAAGTTTATTTGAGCCACAATCCCATTAGCATCAATTTGATTGTGCAGTAGTTTATACAAGAACATAATTGATGCACACTTCCTTCTCAGTTCTAAAGACTGCACTTGAAACCTAGACAATAACAAACTTTCAGATATACCACGTTCAGGATATATACCAACTTTAAAAGATACAAATTTCAGAAACTTCCTCTGAACGTGCTCAAGAGAATCAATGTAGCAGTTGTAAATTGAGTTTCAAATTAACGATGCATATTCCAATTTCGATCTAATATATGCAGAATACAAAACCAACAGTGACTCTGGGCGGCTAAAGCTTCCACAGTTTCTCACAATAAAACCGTACGCCCTCGAAGCTTCACTGACCCTTTGAGATATATGAGTGAAAAATTAAGTTTATGTTCAAAAACAACACCCAAATCCTTAATTGAGTTATAACGATTTATGTAAGTATCCCCAATTTTATAATTAAATTTACGAGCAGAAGTTTTCCGGAAAAACTGACTGACACTACACTTGGACGCATTAAGAAATAAATTATTCTCGTCACACCAAGCCACTAGAGAATCAATATCACGCTGAAGTGCAATACAATGAGTCTCAGACTCAATAGTCCTGAATAATTTTAAATCATCTGCAAAGAGGAGCTTATTACAACTTAAATAATGACCAACATCATCAATAAATAAGGTAAACAATAATGGACCAAGATTTGAACCCTGAGGCGCTCCCGATGTAGTTATACTAAGTGACATATCAATCCGAACACCCAGTTTAAATGGTTTTATTTTAATAAAATTTTGTATAAGTACTTAATGAAGCATAATAAGTAAATGATAAAAATTTCAAAATGATTGCACTGCTTTAAAGCCCTTTGACCTTTAATAATGTGTGGATGCACACTGATGTGCTACCCATTGTCCAACGCGCCTAGGCATGCTTCTGACCAGGTGGTCAATGTCCTCCTGTGGTATCTCATTCCAGGCAACCACCAACTCCTCTCGAAGTGCTTCTAGAGTCTGAGGGGGACGTTGCAAATTGAGCAATCTCCTACCCATCATATCCCACACGTGCTCAATTGGGGATAAGTCGGGAGATCTTAGTGGCCATGGTAACAATGTGACATCATTATGTTGAAAGAAGTCTATTGTGACTCTTGCAACATGTGGTCGGGCATTATCTTGTTGGAAAGTTGGATCTGCCAGGGTGGCAAGATAAGGTAAAAGATGGGGTTCTAGAACTTCGTGGATATAACGCTGCGCGTTCATGTTACCTCTGATGAAGATTAAAGGTGACCTGGAACCATAAGCTATAGCACCCCAAACCATAACTCCAACAGTGTGATGAACATGTCTTTCAACAAAAAACTGTGGATTCCTCCTTTCACCACGTCGCCTTCTAACCCTGGCACGACCATCGTGCATGCCTAAACAAAATCGAGACTCGTCACTAAAGACAATACTGTTCCATTCCTGATCCCAGAGTGACCGTTGTCTGCACCACTCAAGGCGATTACGTCGGTGTTCTCGAGTTAAAGGGAGGACCCAGTGTGGCCGGTATGAAAACAAGCCAAAACTTCTCATTCGTAGGTAAACACTTCGCATGCCAATAGGTCTTCCGTGTTCTGCAAACCATTCATTTGCAATGGACTTGGTAGTGGAGAAACGGTCCCTTAAGGCCAATAATCTTAGGCGGCGATCTTCACGGTCTGTTGTTCTACGGCGGCAGTGCCCCTTGCTTTTTGGGTACGGCCTTCTCGAAGCCATGCCTGACAACACCTAACCACAGTGTCTACACTTCTTTGCACTCTAACTGCAATTGCCCGAAAAGAAAGTCCCACTATACGGCCCCTATCAAACTCACTAAGTTGACGAAATCGTACAGGTCTCCGTACTCTAGGCATCGTAACCGATCGTAAAGGATGTCAAGAACCAAAATCCGCCAACGTTGATGCTTTACTGCGGCTGAAATATTCATTTTTAGAGCGTTAGTGAACTAAAAAAAAGCAGTATAAAAACCGGAATGTCCAACTGATAAGGCTGAAAATTTTTTCACTTGTTATTTACAGTAAGATAAATACATTCACCAACTTTTATTAAAATAAAACCATTTAAACTGGGTGTTCGGATTTATATGTCACTTAGTATATATACCGGTACGACTTGAATCCATTAAAAGTAACATATTGCATCCTTTCATGAAGATAACTTTGAATGAGTGCTAAAGCTGATGAATGGAATCCATAATAAAAAAGTTCATTCAAAAGTATGCCATGCTTTAGCAAAATCGGTATATAACATACTAATCTAGTTGACCTTGCCGATCGACACATTCAATAGCAAATTGAGTGAAGATTGTTAAATTAGGTACTGTGCGAAGTAAATTCTATCATGCAATATTATCTCCAGCAACTTGGAGAAATTCGACAATATTGCCACCGCTATATAGTTTTTAATATCAGTATTATCCCCTGGTTTGAAAATAGGTGTCGCTCTAGAAAGTTTCCAAATATCAGGGAATGTGTTGGTTTCTATAGTCAGATTGTATATTTTTAATAACGGCTTAACAATGTCTAAATGACTTTCATATTTGTCCACCCCCACGATTTTGACTTGTTGTTTGATTTGCGTTTTTTTAAACGATTCTCGTGGACAAAAATCCATGATCTCATCTCCATGATCTCAGTAAGTACTAGAGCAATTTAAAGGAAATTTTGAGGGTGGTATATTGTGATCACTTAGTAGATAATACATGTTTTTTTAAAGTAGGGGCTACGAAGTTATCGATGAGATTATTTTGTCTTTTTTTTTCGGTATGATATCTACATATACGTCTTTTAAGTTTTGCATATGGAAATAAAATAACACAGTAGGTAGTTTTAAATGACTTTTTTATTGTTTTTCAAAGTATTCTCCACGAAGATTAATACACATCTGCATACGGTCGAACCAATTTTCGAAGCACTTATTCCACTCATTTGCTAGCAGATCCAAAACGGCATTTTTGAATGCGTCAACTGCTTCTTCTGGTGACTGAAACCTTTGACCACGCAGTCTGTTTTTTATTTTCGGGAAAGTAAAGAAATCGTTAGGACTTAGGCCGGGACTATATAGAGGATGGTCCAATAATTCCGCGTTTTCTTCCGTTAAATACTGCCTTGTTTTTTGGGCTGTGTGCGAGCTTGCATTGTCATGGTGGAGGTTGATTCTTTTGGTGATGACTTTTGGCAAAAAAACGGTGACATACCAATCCGCAGTAACAGTTCTTTGCTCATTAAGAGGAATTGTTGCAATATGACCCGCTTTTGACAAATCTCGGGACCATCTTTTTCGAAACACTTCGAGAACGGATGACGGTTGTTGATTTTTCTTCACCTTGGAACACCCAAACAGCCGACTGTAGTTTATTTTCTGGTTCATAACAGTAAATGCACGATTCATCACCACTAACAATGCTGTACACATTTTTTGAGTTTCCGGAATTGAAACGGTAAAGCGTTTTTTGACACCAATTAACCCTGGCTGTTTTCTGCTCTTCAGTCAACAGGTGGGGTATCCAACGAGAAACTAATTTTCTTACTTCTAATTCTTCATGTAAAATTTTTTGAATTGAGGTCTTTGAGATCTTCAAGGACGCCTCAACCTCGCGATATGTCACATGTCTATGTTCAATGATGAGTTTGCGCACAGCATCGACGTTTTCCTGGGTGACTGCCGTTTTTTGTGCACCCACCCTGGTATTGTCGCTAAGACTCACCCGTCCACGTTTGAATTCTCCATACCAACGGGAAATTGTCGACTGATGTGGCGCTTGGTTGTCGAAAACAGACAGTAACTCAGCAAGGCATTCTTGTTGCGATAATTGTCTCTGAAAGTTGTAATAAATAATGGCGCGAAAATTTTCTCGGTTGAGTTCCATTTTTCTAATGACTTGGTGTAGTAGAACCCTGCACGTATTGTTGTAAAACTTTGAATTTAAGTTTACTAAAGAGTGAGGTTAAGATTCAGTAGTGACGTTCAATCCGCGCGGCCTACTATGTTTCTATATGCAAAACTTAAAAGATATCCCTCGTACCTGCAGTTATGTTTTTAAGATAATGAGGCATTTCACGTGAAGTGGACACCGAAAAAGGTGAGTTTTTAGAATTTGTTCATACTTGGCCTGTTTGAACATCTAGAAGGTGTGAAAGAGAAAACATTATTTTTTCGTTGCACGTTCATTCGCTAAATTACGGGCTTCGAAGCCGTATTTGAAATTGGGATTTGTTCAAAGAATTTTGAAAAGCATTTTATCGGGATATTGAACATAGCGTTTTATATAGGAAAGTTTCTTTACTTTTTCAAAAAATGTCTAATTTCTTCAAACCAAAATTTGGGTAACGTCTCATTTTTATGATTCTGATTTTTTTTCTCCAAAATATAGCCTAAAGTGTATTTTAAATCCACCAGAAGTTTGGAAATGATATGCGCGTTGATCAAAGAGGTTACACGCTACAATAGTCTTTTTTAGCTCTTATTTATTAATATTTTGACATAAACTTAGTTAATAGTTAATTTTCATACGATTTGTTTAAATATTGAAATAATTAAAAATATGTTGCAAAACCAGAAGCAAACATGTACATAATAATAATAATAATAATAATAATAATAATAATAATAATAATATTTATTCACTCAATGTACAAAGATAACAAACAATATGAGTAAATAAATATAAAATCAAAACAGGCCCAATAGAAGGCATCGCCTGTACATGGACCAATAATTTAAGTTGAAACTGTAGAATGCAAATGACAAAAAAGGACAAAAATTAGCTACAGTAGATTATGTATTTAGTTGATGTTCGTATTTATGAGTTTATGAATTTCAGTCCTAGATATAGAATGTAGCCACTTTTTTAAATTTCTTTTGAAACAATTTCCGAAACGTAAATCTTTTAAGTCTTTAGGTATAATTTCATAAAATTTAGGCGCTAAATAGAGATATGATCGCTGCATTATAGATTTATGAGGTTGAGGAACTACTGTGCCACGAATTTTGTACCTGGTATAATGATTATGTTTAATTTTTTGGTCGGGGTTTACAAATTTATGGTAGTGAGTGATACTGTGTAAGAAATAAAGCTGTCTTATATCATACATTCGAACATCTGTGTATAATTTTTCAGTGGGATAAAGTTTCGGTTTTTTAAATATCATTTTTAGAATACTTTTTTGAAAAACATCTAAATTATAGATATGTGAGGAACATGCAGCTCCCCATGCTAATATACCATATGTGAGATGAGGCTCAATCAGTACATGGTATAATGTTCGAAGATATTTTTCTGTCAATATATTCCCAAGGTATTTAATTTTGTAGGATACAAATCTAACTTTCTTTAAAATATAATTGACATGGATGTCCCATCGTAAGTGAGGATCCAAGACCACTCCAAGGTATTTTATGTTGGGCACTCTATTAATTTGCATGTTTTGATCTTTAATATTGAAGGAGAAATTTGTGTAATTTGGCAGATGTCTAGCATAAGATCCAAATGGTAAAAAATGTGTTTTAGAGTAGTTAATGCTTAATTTTCTACTGTTAAACCACCGAATAATTTTGATAAAATCATTTTCAATTACATTTTTCAGATCAGACCAGTCAGTGCCTTCATATAATATTGCAGTATCATCTGCAAAACTAGTTATTTTGCCAACACAATTAATTTGGAAAATATCATTTAAATATATATTGAATAACAGCGGACCTAAGACAGTTCCTTGTGGGACACCACACTTAATATACATTTCTTTACTAAATGATCCTGATATCTGCACAGATTGTGGGCGATTTGACAAATAACTTTCGATCAGTGAGTACGCGTTTCCTCTGAAACCAATTCTCTCCAATGCTTCCAATAATAATTTGTGATTAACTGTGTCGAAAGCTTTCTTTAAATCAACAAAAATGCAGATTGAAGGGATTCTGTTACCAATATTTTGATGTATTTGATTTACAATTTTAGTTATTGCGTCCGATGTAGCCTTAAAAGGAATATTTTATTTTATAATTTTGACAATTTTACTTCGCTAATTCTAGTTCTTCTAACCAAAGGCCTTCTGCCATGGCGATAAATGTCTGAAACTGCTTGGTCCCTGGAATTATCCTACCTCGATTGAGTCCAGAAAAATTATTTCATGCTAGATGTTTTCTTTCGAGCAGTAACCAAATCGTTGGTCGTTTCGAACATAGTTTTGCCCATTGGTATAGTTGCCAAAGGCGAAACATTTGTCACTGTAGGCAACTGTAAGCCGGCATGCGACTCTCACCGTTCAAGATTACCTCCCAGATCATCGCTTAGTCTCAGCTAAGAACTTGCGAGAAAATGTAATCCTGCATTCAAAAAATCATAATTCATGCATTCCATTTCAAAACTGCAACACCTCTTGGGCTATATTTTAAGGTAAAAAATAAAAAAAAGTGAAGTTAACCAAATTTTGGTTTAAAATGTTTACTTCCTGTTTTGTTAAGTTTTTTTGGAATTTCGATTTTTGTTTTTTTATCAAAAAGTACAGAAAATTTCCTATATGAAACGCAATGTTTCATATCAGGATATGATACTTTTCAATTCTAAAGAATTCTTCTAAGAAATCCCAATTTCAAATACAGCTTCTCTTTCGAGTCCCATAACTTAGCAAATGATCGTGTCACGAAAAAAATTGTGTTTTGGCTTTCACACCTTCTAGATCTAGACGAACAAATCTTAAAATTGACAGGAGGAAAACAAACGTTGTTTTTTGCTTCAAATCATGTACGACCAACCGTTGCTATCTCTCACGCTATAACCACATTGTATGCAATTTCGCCTTGCCTGTACGTTATCCGCTGCGCTCAGAAAACAGTTGAAAATCGCTCGGGTCCCTCGGGCGGAAACAGGGTCCCGTTACCCGGGCGATGGCCTGTCCATAGCCACCCGCGATCGATAACGCATCCGCTTTCTTATTGGTTGGAACGCGTTGGAGGGTGGCAGTGATGAAATGTGCACGACTGAGGGTGGCAGCCTGCAGCACCGCACAGGCAACACATAGCAGCTAGAAATAGTTACGGGGGGTGGATAGGATAGGATGGAATAAAGATTATGGTGTTGAGAGTTTATACCTGGTAATTATAAAGGTAGACGAAATAATCATTACTCTCTTGCATTGTCCTATTTATTGCTCCACATTGTGAGTTTTAAGTCTTGCTAGATCCATAGCTTATAAAATTATAAAAATATGTAAAACAGATATTCAAGAAAATTATAGGCAAGCAGCATACTTGGAAAATATGTTGGTCTATACTGGGTGATTCATAATTATGTTGTAACACAAATTCGCATTTTTTTAATGGAGTGCCCTATACGTTTTAGTATACCTATTCTGAAAGATCCCTTCAAAAGAAGAAGTTTACTATAATATACTATAAGGTTTGGATCGCTACCTCTCAACACTCAATTTTGACAACTTCTGAGTCAACCACCTTTTCAGATAGAGTAGCAAACATTTCGTCATAAGAAGCTCCATATCCCGTAGCTTATCGTCATTTCAGCGGTTTTCAAATTTAGTGCATCGTATGTTACATAATCAAGTCTCCTTTTAACAAATAGGTTGTCGGGTATATATTATTCTTATGTGCTATCTGCTCATGTCATCTCCCTTTTCTCCAGAATATTTTGTACTTCGGAGTCCTTGTTTTCTTTGGCCTTCGTCTTCTTCTTTTCCCAAATTTTTCTCCAGTAGAACGTCTATTTTCATCCTTTGCAGATGACCCCACCAGCTCAGCTGTCTATCCTCAATGAAATCCAGTAATGGAGGTATTTCTAATTTCTTTCTTATCTCGTCAGATCTTATCCTATCTTCCCTGGTGCATCCTTTCACTCTTCTCAGGTGCTTCATTTCCAATTGTTGCTATCTGCTCATGTCATTCCTCTTTTCTCCAGAATATTTTGTACCTCAGAGTCGCATGTTTTCTTTGGCATTCGCCTTCTTCTTTTCCCAAACACTTTGGCTTCCCAAATTTTTCTCCAGTAGAACGTCTATTTTCATCCTTTGCAGATGACCCCACCAGCTCAGCTGTCTATCCTCAATGAAATCCAGTAATGGAGGTATTTCTAATTTCTTTCTTATCTCGTCAGATCTTATCCTATCTTCCCTGGTGCATCCTTTCACTCTTCATTTCCAATGGTTGTAATTTGCTTTTTTGACTTTTCGATAGTATCCCTGACTCACATTCAAATATGGGTATTGGCCTGTATATTACTGTATAAACACGCTTTTTTGTTTTTTTTAAATCTCTCTTTTATTGATAAATCCACGGTTGATAAAATAGTAAACTTTGTTTGCTTTCTTTATTCTTTCATTTATCTCTATTTTATTGTATCCATTTTCTTCTGTTGTTGTATTTGAATTTTTTCACCTGTTCTATTATTGTCCCATCAACCTCAATTTTTACTTTTTACTTTCGGGTTGTTTTTGTTCAGCGTCATGCCGTATTTGGTTAGGAAACGGTTTCATACATTCAATTTTTCGTTTAAGTCTTCTTCGCTGTTTGCAAACACCACAACATCATCAGCAAACGCACATTCTGTGATATCTATATACATACGTTGTACATGTAAGCCTTTTACTCTCCTTGATAATGTCATCCATTACTGTAATTAATATTAATGGACCCATTATCCCTCCCTGTCTTGCCCCTTCTCTAGTTTCAAACATTTCTGACTGCACATTTTTTCCAATTACACAATTTTTGTCTCCTCCTTGATAATGTTAGTCCCATTAATTTAAATTCTATTATCTGGTCATATAATGAGAGTAATGTTATACCTTTATAATTGTTACATCCCTTTTTTATAAATTGGTAATATCATACCGATTATATAGCCTTAGTAGTGTT